TCCAACCAGCGCGCATATTCTGATAAGGCTCCAGATCGCGCAGAGATCCACTGCATTTGCAGGCAGGAGGCGCTCAGGGAAAGACAAAGTGTCGTTTTTCCGCGGCATTGAACTTTGATTGAAAACAATGCCCTTGCCGCTTTCTGCGAGGCTCGACGTCCAAAGCTTCTAGAGCCATGGCTCAGGACGACCTCGAGCACGCTACTGAGCACACCCACTTGCTCTCTCATGCTGCCCACGACCGTCGATTAAGCGGGCTACAGCATGATGAAGAAGCATCGAGTATCGTTGGTTCTGCAGTTACGAAAGAGGAGGCAGCCTTGGGAGATTCGACTGTTGGGGAGAGGCTGCCCTACAACGATTATACGACGATTGACTGGCTTCATGATCTAGTATGGCTCCTTCATTCATTTCGGGAAATCAGACATGAAATTGAATGTTGAACAGGTCAAAGAATCTTATCGTTTTCGAGCCATTCATCACGGCAAAGGGCTCCGAAATGTCATAATCTCTGCCTTCGACTCCTGCTCCGGCTGGATAGCAGTGGCCATAATTGGCACTCTCACGGCTTGCGTTGCCTTCGTCGTCGATGTTGCTGTAGCTACCGTGTCAGACTGGAAGGAGGGATATTGCTTGTCCAATCCATTCCTGAGCCGTGAGACTTGCTGTAGCAAAATCGCCATAGGGCCAGAATGCGACAAGCTGTTCAAATCATGGGCATCATCGTATGCGGCCAGGTTTGGCATATATGTGGGCTTTGCGCTTGCGTTTGGCCTCATCAGCGCGAGCGCCACGATGCTTACTAAAACGACTCTACCAGCTGCAGACATGAATTCGGCAGACAAACTAAATGACGTTGACGAGTCGCAGCCATCGAAACCTACACCTGCTGGGAAGATTCTGTACATGGCCGCAGGTTCTGGCATTCCTGAGATCAAGACCATCCTTTCTGGCTTTGTCATCCCGCACTTTCTGGATCTGAACGTTCTGCTTGTGAAGGCATTTGGCGCCGTCTTTGCCGTATCCACTGGTATGTGTCTTGGGAAAGAAGGCCCTTTTGTACACATTGCAACATGCGTGGGATATTTGGTCGGGATGTTTTTCCCAAAGTACCGAGACAATGGTCGCAAAATGCGCGAGCTGCTTTCTGCAGCTTGTGCTTCGGGACTGAGCTGTGCATTTGGTGCGCCTATTGGAGGCGTTTTGTTTAGCTACGAGGTATGCATATTGGCACGCCATATCTCAAATGCGTGTGAGCACTCACAATTTGCAGGAAATCAGCACGTACTTCCCTCGCAAGGTCCTTTGGAGAGCCTTTTTATGCTCCCTCTTTGCTGCCATGGTTCTCAAAGCACTCAACCCAATAGGAACTGGAAAGCTTGTCTTGTTCGAAACAGATTATAGGACTTCATACCTCCCTATACACTACCTTGTCTTCGTCCTCCTCGGAGTCGCCGGAGGTCTATTCGGCGGCGTCTTTTGCAGGCTCAACTTCATGTGGTCTAAGTGGTTCAGACAGTTCTGGTTCGTCAAGGATTACCCTGTCTTCGAGGTATTCCTCGTCGCGGCAGCGACAGCGCTTCTGCAATTTCCAAATCCTCTGACAAGAAAGTCTGGAGATATTATCATTAAGAATCTACTAGTGGACTGCAAGAGCGAATTCGCGATGAACAGCTTCGTCTGCCGGAACGAAGCCAGTCCAGACAGCCATGCTGGTTACATTGGCTGGCTGATCTACGGTACACTGGTCAAGCTCATCTTAACCATCATCACTTTTGGAGTCAAGGTGCCATCCGGCGTCATCATCCCGGCTCTCGACGCGGGCGCCTTTTTCGGCAGGCTTATCGGGCAGTCGATCGGTACGATTTCGCCCGGTATATTTGCAATGGTGGGCGCTTCTGCTTTCTTGGCCGGCGTTTGCAGGATGACCATCAGTCTCTGCGTCATTATGTTTGAGGTTTGCATCCTCTTCTTTTGACCAATCGCCTGCTAGATGTTGACATGACTACAGCTCACCGGCGAACTCGAATTCGTCATCCCGCATATGATTGCCATTCTCGTGGCGAAATGGGTTGCTGATGGCATCGGCCGCGAAGGTGTGTATGATCTCGCGCAGAGTGTCCTCGGACACCCATTTCTCGACTCCGATCATGCCATGCAGCTCGTGCAGTCTCTCCCGACGCCTCAGCTCGTCAACGTCCTGATCCCGCCAAAGGAGACGATGGACGAAATTACAGTCGTGGTACCGAGGTCGAACAAAGTCCCCCGAAAAGTTCTAGAAGAGAAACTCCGTCTCCTGAAGCGAAGAGGTCTCATGGACGCAGGCCTAGTCTTGGTCCAAGAGCCAGATCATCGGCACCATAACTTTCATATTACCGTCAACCCGACGAGTCGCAGCAGGGGCCTCCTTCAAGGCTACATCGCTGAAGCAGAATTAGAATTCTGCCTCTCAAACACCCCGCACGCACCCATCCGCCGCCTTTCCATCAAACATCCTCAGCATGCCCACACCCACGCCCATGACCACAGCAACGTCGACATCCATCCGAATCTCGAGCCAGGCCTGGGATCGCTGTATCCCGCCGATGCCCCCGTCCGTGTCTTGGGTACGGCGGACGAGGGCGACTTTGACATCAGCATGTTCGTCGACCGGACTCCGCCGGTGGTCAACGAGAGCGCGCCGCTTGAGTACGCGGTCGAGATGTTTGGGAAGTTGGGCCTGAGGCACCTGTGCGTTTTGGAGGATGGGACGGGTGGGTTGGTAGGGGTGGTGATTAAGAAGAGATTGGTTGGGTATTTAGAGAGATTGGCGGATGGGAAGATGGATTGAGAGGGTCTATTCATATATGTAACATTTTGTATGATATAAGGGATAAGGAGGTACATCTGTAGTTCATCGAAATTTGAATTCGTCTCTAAATGCTTTCATCATATCATGCCAAATGGCGTGCCGTAGCCGCCCGAACGCTGAAAACCCGAAGCGAGTCGTAAAACATATTTACAAAATGCAGTAATGTCATTATCCTTCGTTAAACTCCTTCCACCGTGTATAGATAGATCACCATCACGTCCTCTCAGGCGTCTCCGGCATATAATGCTCCGGATAGTAGTGCCTGTCCATGCTATGCTGACTCTCACTTCTTATATCCGTTATTCTCTCCGCCCCCCTCTGCAGCTCCACAAGCTCTGAGCCCTCATCCTCCTCCGCCACCCTCGCGTACCGCGACATGTTCGACGCCGGGCTCAAGCTGCGCTCTCTCCTCTCCTGCGCCAGAAGCAGCGGCCTCATCCCGCTGATCTCAGATCCCTGCGACTGGCCTCTTCCGCGGGTCTCCAGCTCCTCGCCCGCAACGACATCCGGGGTTTTGGTGATCAGCACGTCCCGCGACATGCTCTGCGGCGGCGTCACGGTCATGTGTGGTGGTAGGGTGTCAGGCAGGGCGAGTTTGCGCTCCTTTCGCCGCGAGGAAAGGGCTAGAATGACGGTGGCCATGCCCATGATAAAGTAGATGGCGAGGATGACGCCAACTGCGATGCCGGTGTTGCGGTTGAGAACGTGCTGCTGTTCGGGCGAGAGGGTGTTGGTGGCGTGGACCTGGCAGTAGGTTGCGCTGGGGGAGGCGAGGGTGCAGGTTGTTGTTACGGTTGTTGCTGGGGGTGCCATGGCTGTGGTGGTGGGAAGTCTTCGTTAGGCTTGTAGGAGTGAGGAGGTGAGGAAATGGTATGTGGAGAGGCAGAGGTCTACGGTCAGGCTTTATTGTAGTGAAGCTGAACTCCAGCCTTGTTTGGAGAAAGGCAGTATTGATTGTTTGTACCGGCAGGCCACGGAATGTCTCAGCCTCGCCTTTGATGAAGTATTGGAGAAACGGCAAGGTACAGGTTTGGTCAGAGTTTGAGGTGTAGCAGAAGAAAGAATATCGGGAAAGAGTAGTAAGAAGGCTTAAAAGACTACATATAACATACTTTCCCTTTGACTTTCGGCAAGGCTGAACAGCCGCAGCTCAAGGCTGTCACTGTTCAAGAGCCTCCTTCTTCCCCCACAGTGCAGCGATATCCAAAAATAATCCTACAGAACATGTACGTTGGTACGGTAGCGTCAAGAGCGGGAATAAAAGCCACGAACAGCCGCCACTATATTCACGAGCGAACCAACGGTGAGTGTGGTACGCTAGGCTAACACATGCTACAGGGACTCAAAGGGAACGCGCAGGAGGAAAAGGGCAAGAAAGAGGCTGAACATGAGCGCAAGCTGCAGCTTGTGTCCGGCGGTCACCTAAGCCCCGGCCGTGAAGGCGCATGAGGGCGGCCGCGTCGAACGGGGGATGCGGTCGAATGTTAGATCCGCCTTACTCTTCGTTTGGCTGCAATGGACGTGGGTGCTTTCGAAGCAACGAGTAGCGAGTTTTGGCGAGTTTTGCGGCAGGAGGAATGCCGTCTCCTCTTTGGGTGCTGAGGAGAGCAACGTGGAACTGATGCGGCGTAAGGCGAAAGGCGAAAGGCCTGAGATACGGAGTAAAGATGTCCAGTGTTGGTCTTGAGGAGGGTCAAGACGTGCAGTTGCTGCGCCCCCTGCACACGATAAAATAAGGTGGATGGAAAAGGCTGAGCCGGCGGCTCGGCGGGACATGAGCCTTCGAAATGGAGGATCTGGAGGCAAGAGCTTCTGCTCTCTGGATATTCACAATCAGAAATCCTGTGACAGCGCGATAATTACTCAAGGAGGTTCAATAGACGTCCAACAACTGTCAAACTAAGTTCATTGCTGCTGTTCTCTGGCCACACGCCACTTAATGCGAAGGGCATTGTAGGCTTTTAGAATCGCCTAACCCCAGCTATCAGGCCTTTTCTAATTTATTTTCTCTTTATATAGAGATTATCTAGAGTAGATCTTGTGAGAAAATGCATGTGATGTTACATACCCCAAAATCGCAATGTTAGATAATTCCTGCAAATGAGGCATTATATACAGTAAGCACCTCCTGACAGGCATTTGGCTTCGCGGCAACTTGGCCGAGTGGTTATGGCGTTGCGTTTAGGTCTCTCCTGAACTCTCTACCGCAATTCGAAAGAGCGAGGGTTCGAGTCCCTCAGTTGTCAATATTTGCCAATTTTTTTGGCACTTGTTAAGTATGGATGAGACGAGACGAGATGGGATGACAGAGTGTCAAATTCTATTCTTTTGCTCGAAGCAGAGGATATTAAAGTATGCCAAGACCGGTAGGGATCGCCTAGTACATTTCGACCTTTTGTCCGTTCACCATCCACTCCTTTTCATAGTCATCATCATAGGGATACAAGTCAACGTAGAGGTCGCTAGTACAACCCCAGCTCCCGCGCCTTGATCTGCAGCGCAAGTACACGAGAGAAGTATCTAGAAAGACAAAGATTCCCTCCCATGAGCCAGAATCCAGGATGACCCGACGGCCGCCAGAGCGCCCTGAACTCGCCTTCTTGATTGAAGCCCCAGACAGGGCCGACCCGATCTGCAACTGCGTCTCCAAAAATCTCCCGAGTCTGGGATCGCATGTTGCCATAGCCAGTTGCAACGACAATCTCGTCCGCGTCGAGCTTCGATCCATCCGTGAATTGCAAACCGTGAGGAAGGATCTTGGTGACCTCCTGGCCCTGCTTGATCTTGATCTTCCCGTCGATGACCAACTGGCTGGCTCCAACGTCGATGTAGTATCCACCTCCGCGCTGGAAGTACTTGAATAGCAGACCGGCACCATCTGGCCCGGAATCCATCTTGAAGCCGACTTTCTCTAGTCCAGCAATCGTCTCCGCATCATTCTGCTCCGCCAGCTGAGTCACCATGCGCTGCTGCGCCTTGAAGATCTCAGACGGCAGACCGAACACGAAGATATCCGAGTCCTCAGTTGCCGGCGCATCCTCACTATACAACGCCTTCAGCGCAACGTCCTTCACGGTCTTGGCCGAACAGATGGAAGTGGTGCTCCGCTGGATCATGGTGACGTTGTATCCATTTTCATAATAGTCCTGGGCGATATCATGACCGGAGTTGCAGGATCCGATCACGACAGCCTTCTTGCCTTCAGCGTTCGGCTTCGCACCAGTGAATTCCGAGCTGTGGCAGAGCCTCTCCCCTTTGAAATCGGCCATGCCATCGATGCTGGGAAGGTACTTCTTTCCGGCCTGGCCGGTGGCCTGGATGACATGGCGAGGATGAAATGTTCGCGTTTCGCCAGTCCCGTCTGCCTTGCGCCGCTCAAGCACAACGGTCCATTGCTTCGTCGCATCATCCCATGATGAGGAGACCAGCTCCGTGCTCGTCCACACATTCAATTCCAGCAGCTGGACATAAGTCTCAAAGAAATCAGCCAGCTTGTCCTTGGGCGTAAAGACTGGCCAGTTTGCAGGGAACGGCAGGTAAGGCATGTGGTCGAACCAGACCGGATCGTGCAGCACGAGTTGGTGATATCTGTTTCGCCAGTTGTCGCCTACGCGTTCCTCACGGTCGACCACTAGAGTGTCCACATTGAGCATCTTAAGACGTGCGGCTACTGTGAGACCACCTTGACCGGCTCCTGAGCGGGCATTAGCAGAAGATCCAAAGCACGATAGATGCGTAAAGCCGTACCAACAATCAACACTGCCGGATCCTTGCCTTGGAAGTCCACATCTTCAGCTCGTTGGTCGCGCCAATTTTTCCTCTTTTTATCTTCCCCGTGGTTCACTCCTGTTGCTCGATTCTGCCCCAGTGCCTCTTGGGCACCGTTCAAGCTCTGCAAAACGGTGTACATCGTGAAAACCTTCCAAACTCCAATATCTTCCTCGCACAAACGAACAATTCCCGAGCCCTCTCCGACGTCTGTAGTACACATAATGAAGAACTGCAGTCCAAGTGGACCAATATGAGGCGACCGAAATGGCGTGGACCTGTCAATCTCAATGCTCTTGACGCGGCATCCATTTTGCAGGAATTTTGAGATGCTCTCTGTTCCTTTGAGTGTCCGGAGATCCCATGAAAGGCAGAGGTGGTCGCGCCAATAGCTGTTCTTCTCATCAAACAATCGTACTATGGCTTTATGGTCGTTCGCACGAATCGCGTTGTTGAATGCCTTGGCGAAGTCATCTGCGATCTTATCCGCATCCACGGACTGAGATTTGGGAGGACTAGGGAATTTCCCGACAGGAATATTGACTGAGCCTTGTTCGATGCGTTGACTTGATGGGGCTCCCGCGGTTCTCGGGGCTGTCAGGGTAGCCATATCCTTTCACAAGTGAATTCAACGCTGCAGCAGGAAATGAGACAGACTCGCGGATGCAATGCCCATGAAATGAAGAAAAAAGAAGAAAAAATCGAATATTTAGAGCATTGGCCTCATATTACGCGCTTCGGGAAGGCACACCCCTCCGAGGTACACGAGCTGGAAGCCTATAAGTGGCCTGAAGCCTTAGTGGCCTGGTCGTCTACAAATGAAGGAGATAGCTTCTAGCGTTCTCCGACGCAGACATAGCCTACTTTGCTAATCTCCGGGTATCTGCGGTTTTCCAACATTGAATGTCTCCAGTAGCATTAAACGTAGCTCCTTTGAGTAAAATCTCACAGGTATTTGCGAGCAAGACGTGGAAGTGGATCGAACTATCAGTCAGAGTCTTTCGGGGGTAAGCTCGGCCAAAATCAAGCTCATACCCTCTTCAAGAAAATGTAGAGTTATTAATATTCTTCCGAAGTCAGGCCTTTCGTTATTTGGGAAGCCCAGATTCGAGACATTGTTGCGATGAAATGTGCGAGGCGGCGATCATACATGTAAGCGGGAATCAAAGAGAAAAGCAAATTCAAGGAAGATTGTTTCATCAGGCTCAGTAGGCTATTTATCTGACGGATGACTAGGAATACATAGTGTTTGCCGAGGTCTCAAGAGTTCTGCGCTCAGAGATACTATTGAACAGGGAAGCTTGCAAAAATACGGTTACAGACCGAGTGTCTTACCAGGTGGTGGGGTATATACATTAATTCAATATCATCAAGTCAAGTAGGGATATGTCGAGTTCATTCATTTCATCAATTGCTCTATGGTATTCGATACTTTTTTGTTCCTCATCCCCATAATCCGCAAGACAGAGCCAACACCACTTCTTCCTGAATTCGCAAGAAAAGCAGAAAAGCCTCGAAAGCAAATGCATCGTTCCCTTCGCGCATTACACGGCACAATAACCTACAAGCAAGAACGTCAATGCAAGAAAGGAGAAAATCGTCCGGGAGCCAAAACGGAGGTATTGAAGCAAAGCTGAATTCGACTCTTAACTGCGCTTAAGCTCCTTAGCCCAGCCCATATTCCGTATGCCAAGTACCAAGATGCCGAGGCGAAGGAAGAAAACGAGATCCGAAGTTGAAAGAGGTATCAAACTGTGACCCAAGGGTCAATCATCAAGTGGGTTGAACCAATCACGCGAAATCGGCGGAATACGAGAAGCCTCGGAACTCCTCCTGCATTGCTTGAGAAAGGACTGCATAGAGTATTAGTAACAGTTTCTTTAACGGCATTGAGATGGGAAAGACGGAATGCATACCACTCTGAACCGGCGTAAGCACCGGCGTCACGCTCGTAAACTCCTGATCGAAATTGCTCGTGTCAGTCGCGCTGTTGATCGTCGGCAAGAACGGTGCGGGAATGCGCTTGTGATAGACATCGTCCCAGTTGATGTTCCTGAAGAACGCGTGGCTCATGATTTCCTGAGCATCCGTTGGGCCGGAGCCGAGACGCATCTCCGGCTCACGCGTGAGCAGCTTCTGCAAGATCGAGACTGAGTCGCGAGGCATGTGAATGGGGTAGAGCGGCTCATCTGCCAGAATAGCTTCGTAGATTTCGTCCTCGTCCTCACCGCGGAAAGGAGATTGCTGGAGAAGCATTTGGTAGATCAGGACACCGAAAGCCCACCAGTCGACGGCGCGACCATACTTCTTGTCGAGCAGGATCTACAATCTCGTTAGTCGCGTTCATAATACCCTTGATATTTTGCCCTGCTTACCTCTGGCGCCATAAACTCGGGCGTACCGCAGAATGTGCTCGTCGTAGAGCCATACCACATGTCCTCCTTGCATAGACCGTAATCCGCAATCTTAATATGGCCGTCGAGGGTGAGGAGAATGTTGTCGAGCTTCAAGTCACGGTAGATTACACCGTTCTCGTGGAAATACTTGAGAGCCAAGCAGACCTCCGCGGCGTAGAATTGTGCTCTCTTCGTGGTGAACTGGCCTCTTTGGATATGCAACATCAGATCGCCACCGCTAATGTATTCCATGACGAAGTACACTCTCGTCTCGGTCTGGAAGCAGGCATGCAAGTTCAGCAAGAACGGATGTCGCTCCTTGTTAGCGATCAAGAACACTCTCTTCTCAGACCTTGTGCTCTCAACCTCGTCATTCTCAATGATGAATTCCTTCTTCAGCACTTTGATGGCGTACAGCTGCTTTGTCGCCTTCGTCTCGGCAAGCATGACTTTGCCAAAGTTACCCTTACCCAGCACAGCGAGGAAGTTGAAGTGATCGAGGCCGATCCTGCGTCCAGTTCCAGCAGTATTTGCAGGTGGAGCGCTTTTTCCTGGGGGCGGACCCTGAGGTACAACTTGCTGCTGGCTCTGTTGCTGTGGGGGTTGTTCTTGTTGATGCGGAACCTCGTGTGCTGGAGGTTGAGGAAGGGGTTGTTGTTGCTGTTGCCCATAGGGACTCTTTGGCGGCACTTGAGGCTGCTGTTGTGGGGCACCATACTGTGGCGCGGGATATCCTGAGGCAGACAGCGGTGGATACGCCGCCGGGTTATACTGCACATTGGGGGTTTGTTGTTGATTACTTGGCGGGGCCCCTTGACCGTAACCTACTCTTCCGTCAGCACCTTGGCCATAGCCTCCTGACGTTCTGTCTGCGCCATAATCAGATTGTTGTCTCTGATACGGCGGCTGTCCGGAAGCCTTTGTAGGTGAGGTAGGCGCCTTTCCGCTGTACGCTGCGATCGCCGCCGTTTCTGACTGAGATTGTGTTCTCGAGCCAGACGTAGGTCTCTGCTGTTGTGCTGAAGCCGGCTGGCCCTGGCCGTAAGATACCCTAGCAGCGTCTGCAGCAGCAGCCGAGGTTG